AAAGAAAAGAGTGGGTGCCTGGGTGGCTCAGTCATTAAGCGTCTGCCTTTGGCTCAGGTCATGATCCCAGGGTCCTGGGATCGAGCCCCACATTGGGCTCCCTGCTCAGTGGGAGGTCTACTTCTCCCTCTCCCACTCCCCCTGCTTGTGTTCCTTCTCTTGCTATCTCTCTCTCTGTCAAATAAATAAATAAAATCGTTTAAGAAAGAAAAGAGCAAGTGAAAATCCAAATAAGCAAAAAATAGGAAACAATAAATATAAGATAAAAATTAATGAAATAGAAAAATAATAGAGACGATCAGTAAACCAAAAGCTGATTTTCTGATATTAAAAATATATATATATACCTATAGGCAGACTGATTAGGAAAAAAAAAAAGAGAGATAGCACAAATTACCAATATCTTATGCTAAAAGGACATATTTTAAAAGGACAATTAGAGGTTATACAAATATTTAAAGAATAACATTATGAAAACACCTTATGCCAAAAAAAGTTGACAACTTAGATGGAAATAGACAAATTCTTTGAAAGGCACAAATTACCAAACTGCCAAAACTCACTCGAGAATAAATAGATATTCTGAGTAGCTCTCTATCTACTAAAGAAATTGAATTTATGCTTAAAAATCTTACAGCAAAGAAAATTCCAAGTCCAGATGAACCCACTGGGGAATTCTACCAAACATTTAAGGAAGAAATAATACCAATTCTATACAAGTTCTACTAGAAAACTGAAAAGGAGGGATTATTTCTATATTCTATATGAGGTTCTATATGAGGTTCAGCACTGCCTTGTTATCAAAATTAGACAAAGACAGTACAAAAAAACTTCAGATCAATATCCCTCAGAAACATAGATGTAAAAATTTTAGTAAATTGAATCCAACAATATATAAAAAGGAAAATAAACCACAATCAATTAGAGTTTAGCATAGGAATGCAAAGTTAGTTTAAAAAGATTCAAAGATCAATTCGAAGATTTGAATAAAAAGATCAAAAATCAACCTTTGAAACCATACAAATCTGATCAAAGAAATAAATCAGGGAAACATAAAATATATAAAATGGAGACGTATCCCATGTACATGGATAGGAAGACTCAATATTGTCAAAATTTCAGTTCTTCCCAACTTAATCTATAGATTAAACACAATTCAAATCAAGTTACTTTGTAAATATTGACAATCTGTTCCTAATACTTATATGGAAAGGCAAAATTGAAGTTGAAAGATGGAGACTACCAGACTTCAAGACTTACTACAAAGCTACAGTAATCAGGACAGTGTAGTATTGACAAAAGAGTAGACAAATAGACCAATGCCACAGAAATAAATCCACACAAATATAGTCAACTGGAGTATGACAAAGGAGCAAAGACAAGTCAATGTAGAAAAAAGAGTCTTTTCAACAAACGGTGCTGGAAACACTGGACATTCAAAAAATACAAAAATACAAAAAAATACAAAAAAATGAATTTAGACACAAACTTTGTACCTTTCACAAAAATTAACTCAAAATGGATCATAAACATCAATGTAAAATGTAAAATTTTAACATTCCTAGAAGATAATATAGGAGAAATCCTAGGTGACCTTGGGTTCCGTGATGACTTCTTAGATACACCAAAGCATGGGGCACCTGGGTGGCTCATTTGTTTAAGCATCTGCCTTCAGCTCAGGTCAGATCCCAGGGTCCTGGTATCGAGTCCTGCATCAGGCTCCTTGCTCAGCAGGGAGCCTGCTTCTCCCTCTGCCTGCCATTCTCCCTGCTTGTGCTCTCTCTCAATCTGACAAATAAATAAATTTAAAAATCTTAAAAAAAAAAAAAGATACCATTACAGGCCTATTAAAATAGTTAAAATCCAGAATACTGATAATACCAAATGTTGGTGAGGATGTGGAGCCACAGAAACTCATTTATTGCTGGTGGGAATGCAAAATGGTACAATCACTTTGGAAAAGCTTGGCAGTTTCTTGCAAACTTAAATTTGCTGTCACTTATGCTCCATGGTATTTACTTTACCATTGGGTATTTACCCAAATGAGTCGAAAACTTATGACCACAGAAAAACCTGTGCATGAATGTTTTATAGCAGCTTTACATATAATTGCCAAAACATGGAAGCAACCAAGATGTCCCTTGGTAAGTGAATGGATAACTAAACTGCAGTACATCCAGATAACGGAGTAGTTTTCAGCAATAAAAAGACATGAGCTATCAAGGAAAGAAAAGACATGGAGGAAACTTAAATGCACGTTAAAAAAGGCCAATCTAAAAATAAGCCAATCTGAAAAGTCCACACACCATATGATTCCAACTACATGACATTCCAGAAAACACAAAAACTATGTAGGCAGTAAAAAGATCAGTAGTTGCCGGGAATTTAGGGGTAGAAGGATGAATAGGAGGAGCACTGGTGATTTTTAAAGCAGTGAAACTATTCTGTATGATATTGTAATGGTGGACATGTCATACATTTGTTAAAACCCATAGAATGTGCCACATAAAGAATGAACTCTAAACTATAAACTTCAGTTAATAATCTACCAATATTGAATTATTAATTGTAATAAATGTACCATACTAATGCAAAATGTTAAAAATAGGGGAAATTGGGAGGGGTGGGAGTATTTGGTAACTGTCTGTACTTTCTGCTCAGTTTTTCTGTAAACCTGTACCTACTCAAAAAAGTATATTAACTGATGGTTGCCAGAGGGAAAGTGGATGGGTGGGGAGTGAAATTGATAAAGGAGACCGAGGGTACACTTATCTTTTTTTTTTTAAGATTTTTATTTATTTATTTAACAGAGATAGCACAAGTAGGCAGAGCGGCAGACAGAGGGAGAAGGAGAAGCAGGCTCTCCGCTGAGCAGGGAGCCCGATGCGGGGCTCGATCCCAGGACCCTGGGATCATGACCCGAGCTGAAGGCAGCCCCTTAACCGACTGAGCCACTCAGGCGCCCCAGGGTACACTTATCTTGATGAGCACTGAATGACGTATAGGATTGTTGAATCATTATATTGTATATTTGAAACTAATATCACACTGTATGTTAATTATACTTCAATAAATTTTTTGAATACCAAAAAGTCTATCAATTTTTTAAAATGTAGAAGTAAAAAAAAAAAGAAAAAACAAAAAACAGTCTTTGTGACTTTGAGTTAGGCAAAGATTTCTTAGTTACAATACCAAAAGCATGAACCATAGAAGAAAACATTGGTAAATTGGGATTCATGAAAATTAAAAACTTCTGTGCTTCAAAAGTCATGAGGAAAGCTTTGGGTTAATAGGTACATTCATTCTCTTGATTGTGGTGATCATTTCATGAGTGTATACATATGTCAAAACTTACCTAATTCTGTACTTCAATGTGTATACACAAAGCTGTTAAAACTTCTAAAATTTAGAAGAATGACCCAGAGAGCTTCTAATGCAGATGTCTTGGGCCTCACCCCTAGAACTCCTAATTTTGTAAGCCTGAGATAAAGTCTAGGAATCTGTATTTTTACCAGGCATCCAGGTAATTCTAGTCCTAGGGAGGAAGGAAATATTCCTCCAGACTGTCCTCAGACTCCAGACTGCAACATCAATCCTTTCCTGGGTCTCCAGTCTGCTGGTCTCCCATGCAGATTTCAGACTTACCAGCCTCCATAATTGCATGAGTCAATTTCTTAAATAAAACTCTAATTCTCTCCCTCCCCCTCCATATGCAATTTTTTCTGTTTCTCTGGAAAACTCTAATATGGTCAGTAAAATAATAATATCCCACAAAAATAATCACTATGAGACTCCTTGAAAAGATTCATAAATTTGGATGTGGCTACATAAATGTGGTTCGTACACATTTAAGACTGGAACCTTACATATTTACATCCTTATATTTTTACAACGCCTGATACATATTCAGTATTCACAGGGTATCTGAATGAATGAATGTTTTTCTCTTTATGGACTCCTGTGGGGCTGCATATGGTTGATTATCTTCTTTGCATCTTCTAATTCTGGTCATGTCCATGCCAGTTTGACTTAACCAAGAAAGAATCTTGGGAAGACTCTACCACTAGTCCCTGACTGCACTTTATAGCACTGATCTTTTTTTTTTTTTT